TCACCGTGCATCTGATTGATTGATTGTTTAGTCCGTTTTCTACTGTCGTGTCCTCCCTCCTCCTTGCTCTTAGGTGACTAGAAATAGGAAACTCCACTGTATGCGGGAAACTCCTCGCCTAGATAGAGCCACACAGTTTCGTCAAACTTTGCCGACGCATCATCGTGCATCTGATTGATTGATTGATGAATTCGATTACGAAGCAATCAAGCAATCAGTTAGTTATATTTTTCCTTCTTTTCATATTTATTTATTTTTTTTTTTCAAATTCTTAAGTTATGTATTTGGAAGGTGGAATAGAATGTGCGCACATGGGTGTAGCGAATGTGCCAGAGGGGTGTTTTTTATTATTATTTTAATTTATTATTATTATTTTTTTTGCCGACAAAGGCCTGTCGATTTTTGTTTTTCCGTCGGGCGGTCTTATGGCAAAAGCATGGCAAGAGCCATGTATCTTCTAATCTCGGGGAAATGGATGTCATCGGTTCCGCACTACTGTTGTTCCGGAGATCAGACCCAAACGTGCGATGTCCCATGTGTACGGTTGCAAAAAAGTAAAGTGAAAAAGAAAAAGATGAGACACATCATATAATGATGGGCAAAATACCTATTCATCTACTACGCACATCGGCACCCCCCCGCTCCTCCTGCAAATGGCATTGGAAGTGTTTGTTGCACCGAGAGAAGGCTAGCATTCCTTCGTCGCGGCGAGAGAAGACTAGCATTGTTTCCCTGGACAACGGCGGAAAGAAGACAACTGACTGTTTGGAACAGGACTCTCTTTTTGACAAACAATGCCTATTAACGCCGAAGCCGAAAAGAAAATCAATCAATTTTTCGTATAGCAAAAATATTGAAAAACAAAATAATCTATAGCATGCCCGTCAGCCGAGTCAGGTGGCTAACACCCAACTATTACAGCAGAGAAACCCACAAAGAAATTGCATCTAAACCATACTTGCGGCACATCGCGATGTGCTGCACTGCGCACGTGCGCCGCACTGCGCATCCCGCACGACGCGCGCGCACTGCATGCGGCGCACCTCCAAAAATGGGGGTCAAAAAAAAAAAGAAGTTGTGAGGGGCAGTAGTAGACCCGGCCCCCTGCTCGTGTAAAATAAGAAATGGGCAGCCAAAATTTTTTTGGAGGCCGCGCGTTGGCCTGAAAGCTTTGAGTAATGTGTAGTTCGAGTAACACTCTGTGTGTGTGGTAGGGTTATTGCAGTCTGTATGGTAGGGTTCTTGCAGGCCAGATTCAGTCATGATGAGGGTCGCGATCTTTCAAAACGTTCTCTTCGTATTACTTAACGACAGAACTGACAGCCGTTTTTCCTGGAATGTTTTTTTTTTTTTTTTTGGAGGGAAGAAAATCAGAATTTCTTTGCACGAGTGTCGCCAGGCACGTCCAACCTGTCAGAACCTCAACGGTAATTGGAGTCTGTATGGTAGGGTTCTTGCAGGCCAGATTCAGTCATGATGAGGGTCGTGATCTTTCAAAACATTCTCTTCGTAACTTCTGAAGTAGAAAACGACGGAACTGGCAGCCGTTTTTCCTGGATTGTGTTTTTTTAAGAAAAGGAAAAAAACGTAAAGGAAGAACAGCTCTTTGCACGAGTGAAGCCCGGCGCGTTCAACCTGTCAGAACCTCAACGGTAATGTTTACCAACGGGCTCGCTGCACTACTCTCGACATGCACAACGAGACATATATGGCAATGTATCTTTCCATGTTCAAGTGGAGGGTTCAGTCTCATTTGTTCAGAGATTCTCCAAAAAAAAAAAAGAAAGGTTCCAGAGATACGTTACGTGCTTACCTGATTCATCGGCCCTTCGCTCCCCACCACCCAACGTATGAATGAATCTTCCGCCAGAACATGGAAAGATACACCGCCATATTTTTTGTACTTTGTGCATGTCGCCCCGCTTCCGGATTCATGTTGCCCGTTGACAAGGGCAGTTTCTTCGGTACGATGCACACGGTTCTTCTCTCTCTCACACGGTTTGTTCTCTCTCTCTCTCTCTCTCTCTCTCTCTCTCTCTCTCACACACACACACACACACACACACAGAAAATAGGCATCGCGCACAGTGCGCACCTTGCWGTGGTAGCGCGTCCCCATGCGCTGCGCGCACGGCGCACCTCGTGCGCGTGCGCGCGGTGTCACCTCGCGCATTCCGCACGGCGCAGCACACCGCATCGC